CGGAAGAGGCGGCAGAGGAGGAGGGAAGGGAGATGGCGGCCGTGGAACTAGAGCGGATCCCAGAGACTCTGTAACGCTGCCATCTCCGCTGTTGCGGACAGCTACATCCACTCCCGCGGAGATATTCGCTCCTTGCCCGGGAAGTTCCGTCCAGTTCGATGTTTACAACAAGCTGTACCAACAGCGACGCTTGCGTCAACAGGGCAGTGAATTTTGTGAATTGGAAGTTTTTGCTAAAGTATTGAGAGCTTTGGATAAAAGACAATTGCTTCATCATTGTGTCCAGGCTTTGATGGATCATGGTGTGAAAGTTGCTTCAGTCTTGGCCTACTCGTTCAGTAGACGGTGCTCATATATAGCAGAATCAGATGCTGCGGTAAAGGAAAAAGCCATTCAGGTTGGCTTTGTTTTTGGTGGCTTGCTTTCAGATGCAGGCTGGTACAGTGATGCTGAGAAAGTTTTTCTGTCTTGCCTTCAGTTGTGTACACTCTACACGATGAGATGCGTCACTGGTTTGGTGCAGAAGAAATGTTGTGTAAGGCTGCTTCATGTGCGAAATGGAAACTGCAAATACCATCTGAGTGAAGAAACATTTAAGTTAGCGCAGACGCATTTCGATAAACTCTCAAAACAAGGCCAGCAAGCAAACAAAGCTGCACTCCGTGAAGAACTATGTGCACTCCTATTTGCAAAAAGTCACTATGACGAGGCATATAAATGGTGCATTGAGGCAATGAAAGAAATCACAGCAGGCCTACCAGTCAAAGTTGTGGTGGATGTTTTAAGACAAGCTTCTAAGGCTTGTGTTGTAAAATGTGAATTTAAGAAGGCAGAACAGTTAATTAAGCATGCAGTGTATTTGGCACGGGATCATTTTGGACCCAAACACCCTAATTATTCTGACACACTGCTAGCTTATGGGTTCTATTTACTCAATGTAGATAATATCTGTCAGTTTGTTGCAATTTATCAGGCAGCCCTTGACGTTTGGCAGTCAGTGTTTGGTGGCAAAAATATCCATGTAGCAACAGCTAATGAAGACTTGGCTTATTCTTACATTCACCAGTATAGCTCTGGGAAGTTTGGCGATGCACTGTTTCATGCAGAGCTGTTGATATAATTACCCACATCCTACCTGAAGATCATCTTCTTTTGGCTTCTTCAAAGAGGGTGAAAGCACTTATTTTAGAGGAGATTGCAACTAACTGTCATAATAAAGAAACTGAACAGAGGCTCCTTTAAGAAGCTCATGATTTGCACCTGTCTTCACTCCAGCTAGCTAAAAAAGCTTTTGGTGAATTTAACGTATAGACTGCAAAACACTATGGAAAACTTGGGAGACTTTATCAGACAATGAGAAAATTTACGGAAGCTGAAGAAATGCACATCAAAGCAATTCAGATTAAAGAGCAACTTCTTGGGCAAGAAGATTATGAAGTAGCCCTTTCAGTGGGACATCTGGCTTCTTTATATAATTATAATGTGGATCAGTATGAAAATGCTGAGAAACTTAATTTGCGATCTATAGCAACTGGGAAGAAACTGGTGAAGGCTACAAGGACTAGAATAATATGATTACTGAGGCCTCATTAAACTTTACAACTCCACAGGAAATTATGAGGAAGTGTCTGAGTATCACAATGTTCCGTCTAACTGGAACCAGTTGCGACATCAGCAGTATTCAGTGACCGATGCTCCTGAAGACATTGACACCAGTCCCCATCCACAGAAGAAGTGGTGCAGTCCTTCCTGATTTCTCAGAATGTTGAAGGACCGAGATGCTGAGGGAGGACCTCAGTTACCCTTTCCCAGATTCCAGGGAATTCATACTGTGAAATCTAAACCATGTTGGCTTTTGGGGCTGGAATTTGCATCGAAACACTCGTCCAGTCCATTGACCCTATGTGGGTGATCCCTACCTTGCAGAGTGTCCGTAGGAATAAGCATATATTCAGTTATATTCAGCATGTACCACACATCTAAGTAGTCTGGCCCATATTTTCAACCTAGTAGAATAAACAACAGGAAAAATTTTTTTCTTTTTAAAAAAATAATTCATTTTGCAGAAAGCCTGAAAAAGAACTCCTAAATAAAACTATTTATGAGTTAAAAAAACAAACAACGTACATACCTTAATAAAAATACTTCACTGCTAAAAAGATGCTAAGCGTCATCTGAGCCTTCAGTGACTCACAATCTTTTTGCAATAATAACATCAAAATTAGTGATCACAGATCACCATGATAAATAGAATAATAATGCAAACTTTGAAATATGGCACGAATTACCAAAATGTGACACAGAGAAGTGAGCCCATGGTGTTGGGAAAATGGCGCCTGTAGACCTTCTCCACGTGGGGTTGCCACAAACTTTTGACTTGTAAAAAATGCAGTATCTGCGAAGGGAAATGAAGCAAAGTCTGCCTCTGGATACCACTATCCCATTTCATAACCAGGGCCGGCGATGCCAGAAGTTGCTTAATGAGGAACTATCCTGCGTCCCCATGACTTTTGAACATTCTGCCAGACATGAAAGTAGGTGAAAAACTGGTTTATAAGTATCTGATCACAGGATGTGTTCTGCTTATTAACTGTGGAGCTAGAGGGCTTTAGAGGGGCCCAGGGCTGCATGTGAGAATGTGGACGGAAAGCTCCCTTGTGACCACAGGGAAGGTGTGTGGGTGTCCAGAGCTGCGGATAAAACCCTCGACACCCTGTCATCCACCTCTGCATTGATCAGGAGATACTCAGCATAAACTAAAGGACCACTTACAACATCCTTCCAGCCTCCATTGCCAAGGTTACCTGCCATCAGACGGAGAGCTATATGGGGTCGGGACTGGGGCCAAGCCACTCCTAAGCTTGTCCTCTGGCACAAAAAGGGGCTGTGGTATATTTCTAAAAAACCATACTATGGAATTTAAATTTAACAACATGCACAAAAGTAGACAGGATAATAATACAACGCAGCCCCATGTTCCCATTGCATTTTCAACATATTGACAGTCTTGGGCATCTGTACCTGACCCAGCTTCCTCATTCAATCTGTAAACACATCAGTGTGCTCCTCAGATTGATGAGAACCATTTAAAATGTATAAAAAGTACCATGCTGTTACTAGATCCAAATATTAGCAATCATCTCTAAATATGTCATCATATAACACCCAGCCTAAATGATAATTTCCTGGATGGTCTCAAAGCTGCCTTTTTTCCCTTCTAACCACCACCAACACATCCTCATGCAAAGGTGAAGATCCACTGGTCGCTGCCCCAGCGCTCACAAACAAGAGCACTCTTGGCTTTGTGTGTTGTAATAGATCACATTCATTACACATGTATACGTGCCTGGCGCTGGTTTGTGGGCTTTTTTTGTTTTTTTGTTTTTTTAGATGACAGCTTTATGGAGGTAGAATTCACATACTGTAAAATTCACCCATTTAAATTTGTAATAGCCTATAATAAAAAAGAACATGAAAAGGAATATATACGTAAAACTGAATCACTATGCTGTATCCCCGGAATTAATACAACATTGCAAACTGACTATACTTCATAAAAAACATTCACCCATTCAAAGTATAAGGTTCAAAGAGAGTCAATCCTAAGAGTTCTCATCACAAGATAATTTTTTTCTATTTCTTTAGTTTTGTGTCTATATGACATGATGGGTGTCCCCCTAACTTGGGATAATCACTTTATGATGTATGTTAATTGAATCACTATCTGACTTGATTAAGGTGTATATCTTAAATTCATACAGTTCTGAATTTCAAGTATATCCCAATAAAACCAGAAGAAAAATAAATTTTAATAGTATACAATTCAGTGGTTTGTTTTTGGGTTTTTTTTGTGGGGGGGGAGGTAATTAGGCTTACTTATTTGTCATTAATTTTTACTTAATGGATGTACTTGGGCTCGAACTCATGACCTCATGCATGCTAAGCATGTGCTCTACACTGAGCTATATACCCTCCCCCTTACAATTCAGTGGTTTTTAGTGGCTTGCAGATCAGTGACTTAAAAATCAGAATGGATCCAGAGCTACGCATCAATCCCCACCATCATTTTAGAACATTTTCATCAAACCATTAATCAGTCACTGAAAGCAAAGCCTCTGTTCACTCAGCCCTGCACAGACTGTACTTCACCTGATGACTCAGAGGGTTTGTGACTCTGCGGTTGGTGCACACCCTCTGTGCCCGGGCTGCCCACTCGGCCTCCCGTGCTCGGCAGTCGTGTGATCCTGGAGGAAGTGGCTTCACCTCTCTGAGGGGTTAAACAGTGCCTGGCCCAAGAACCGTATCTTGCAGGAAATGTCCAGAAAGGGCAAATCCACAGAGACAGAAAGCAGGCTGGTGGTTGTCTAGTGCTGAGGGGTGGGTTTCAGAGCGAATGGGGAGGCTTTGCTTTCAGTGGCCCCGAGAAAGGGGCTTATTGGGGGCAGTAAGACGGAGAAGCTTGTGAGTCACAGCCGAGCTGTGTAATGAACCTTATTCAGCAAAACCAGCCCCGCTGGCTCCGTTCCTTTGAGTCCAATAACGCCCAAGAAGGCTATCTCACCCAGGCATCTCATTTCTGGCTGGGCTCAAATTAACACCCGGGGATGACTCAAGGGGCCCAGAGCCCTACCTGGGTTGGTTCAATTGTGGTCCAGGCATATAGTCAAGACTGAGAATCTACTGCAAAGAAATCCTTCACGCGATCTTAATGGTCTCTGAGGATTTCAGCAACTTTTAAATCAGAAGCAAAGATATTGCTGTAGGTCATTCAATGCCATACCTAGCTTCTGACAGCTTCCCTTGTTCGACTAGGTCCCACCCTGCTTGACTCAGCCCTGGTGTTCTCGTAATGGCCCCCGGGTTCCAGGCTCCGACCAGGAACACATGCCCTGGGTGAAGGCAGCCGGAGACATGCTGGCTGTTAATCGCTTGTGTGCTAAGCCAGGAGTCTAGCACTGACCCAAGGCTTGTTCAGTTCAGTCAGCAAAAATGCGTTAAACGCTATATTGGTTTTATGAGGCTGCTGTAATAGCATACCACACACTGGGTGATTTAAACACAATTCTGGAGGCCCGCAACCAGTCTCTTTCAGCATGGGGCATTTCCCCCTTGCGTTTCTGCGTGCACCCTTCCCGTTGGAGTAAGGGCCCACCCTACTCCAGTGTGACCTTATCTTAACGAATCGCATCTGTAAAGATCCTACTTCCCAAGGTCACATCCTGAGGTGCTGGGTGTTAGGATTTCAACATAGCTTTTGGGAGACACAGTTCAACCCATAAGAAACATACACTATGTGCTGATACTGTCTAGTGTGCTGGGCTATGAGATCTCTGTCTTGGGAGATAGTAAGTGGTTTCTGTCCTTCTGGGCATCCTTGTGTCCCCTCTGAGCAAGAGGAAGGCTTTTAAGGGCTTGCTACCTTCTGCTTTGGATTTGCAAACACAGTAAGGAGCTTAGTAAATATTTATTGAATGAATTCGTGTAACTTATTTTTGGCAGCTGGCCAGCTCCTGCTTTGGTACAATAAAAGTTAACTTCCTCTTTCAAGCAGGGCACTTCAAGCACAGGGAACAGAGCTGGGTGGCCTTAGCATTTGGATTAGACAGAACTCAGTACAGAATATCACACTGCTCCATTCGGCTCGCAGATGCCAGCTGGTGCCTGTTCTGTCCACCTGCAGGGCCCTTTCTGGGTAGAGACCTCCTGGCGGGTAACATGAGAGGGTGACTGTAAGCATAGGTCTTCTGAATCTTCCTCCAGCATCTATATGGTACCCAGAACATGCAAGAAAAGATGTGCAGGAAACTAGTGCTCAGTTTCCCGCCCATGGGTGCTATGATCATTCCATAGATTTCACCTTCATCCTCCAAGTCAGGGCTGTGAGCAATGTCACATCTCTTCAGTATGTTCTGTGAATCAGCTTGACTTGGACTGAGAACAAGTCCTCATTCCACTAAGCCGGCCCAAATTTCAGCAGTGGGTTCAATGTCAGGGCAAAGTGGGAACGGGGGCCAGGGGGTTTCTTTTGTGTAATACCAAAATCCTGGGGGCATCGCTCAGAGCCCTGGCGGGAGATGGAACACTCATGGGGGCAAACCTGAGAGGAGTTTAACAGGAAAATTTACAAAGATGTGGGTAGAATGTAGGTTAACTATGAGAGATGGTACAGCTCCCAGGCGCTGGCAACAGTGGGCAGCTGGTACCATCTCTTGGTCAGCAGGGATGGATCTGGGAGAACAAACACCCCAGCTTCACTCTCCTTCCTCTTGTGATTTCTGGACTATGATCCCACTGACCTGGCCAACAGGGAGGCATAGGGCAGGGGAGCCCACAGATCCAGTTTGGGCTGCCTTGACAAAAATACCACACCCTAGGTGGCTTAAACAACAGAAATGTATTCCTCCCTATTCCGAGGGCTGAGAAGTCCAAGATCTGCTGATTTGGTTCCTGGTGACAGCCCACTTCCTGGCTGGCAGATCAATCAATATTTGTTAAATGAATCCATGCAATTTATTTTGGCAGCTGCCCAACTTCTGCTTTGGCCCTTATACATCTTTCTGGTGTCTCTTAGAAGGGTATCAATCCCATTCACAAGGGCCCCACCCGCACAACTTAATCACCTCCCAAAGGCCCACCTCCAAATTCACACTGGAGATTAGGACTTCAATATAGGAATTTGGGTGGGGGCAGGAACATTCGAGCCACAGCAGATAACATCAGACGGCCTCCCAGGGCACAGAGTAGGGTGGAGGAAGCCGGTGATGAGATGTGGTGGGGCAGCAGGAAGGGACCTGCCACATGAGCGTTTTATTGAAATGGGAGATATGGCTGCCAGCCGCTTCTGCACTCCAATGACGTTGCACTTGACAGATAACCTGGGGTCAGGGCTGAGGTTCCTCTATCCTTCTGGCTTGAGTCTCTCCCAAAGAGAGAATCTGGGAAAATATCCTGGCTAAGGTAAATTATCTTGAGGAGGAAGGGCTGGTCCTGAGAGAATGGAGGAGAAAAGGCAAGGGGACCAAAACCAATCTGACTCCAGCAGGGGAGGGCTGGAAATGGACACTGGGAGCTGTTATGGGCTGAACTGTGTCCCCACAAAAATTCTTATGTTGAAGTCCTATGCCCAGTTTATAGATGTAATTAAATTAAAGTGAGATCATTAGGCGGACCCTAATTCATTATGACTGGTGTCCTTAGAAGAAGAGGAAATCTGGGCACAGACATGTACAGAGGGAAGATGTAAAGATATAGGGGGAAGAGGTCACCTGCAAACCAAGAAGAGAGGCTCGGAGCAGATCATCCCCTCACAGCCCTCAGAAGGAACCAACCCTGCCAACACCTCGATCTCAGACTTCAAGCCTCCAGAACTGTGAGACAATAAACGTCTGTGGTTTAAGCCTCCTCATCTGTGGTACTTTTGTTACAGCAGCTCTAGCAAACTAATACAGCAGACTCCAAGTTAGTCTGAAATAATCTTCACCTGCTGGTGTCAGACCCTCCCATACTGACTCAGGCTGCTCAGTGTGATGGGTGGGACACACCGGATGTGACAGTGTGTGACAAGGTGAGGCTCAGATGTAAAGGTACTGTTTCTACCTTGGTCTCTTGGGTTTCTCTCTGGAGGGATCCAGCTACCATGTGGTGAGGACACTCAAACAGCCCCACCAAGGTCCACATCAAGAGGATATGACCAAGAGCCACGAGCTAGCACCAACTTGCCAGCCATGGAAGTGGATCCCCCAGCCCCAGGCAAGCCTTCAGATGACAGTGGCCCTCGCGGAGACCTGACAGCATCCTCACTGGATATCTCAAACAGAACCATTCAGCTAAGCCACTCCTGAACACCTGACCCACAGAAACTCTTAAGAGATAATGTTATTGTTGTTGCTTTAAGCTACTAAATTTTGGGGTAATTTGTTACACAGCAATAGGTAGCGAATACAGAACCTCCCTCCCCAACTCCCTGCCTGCCCCTTCAGACCCTTCTTCTGCTTTCTTTAATATCCTCTTGACCTTACCCCCACACCATGATGACACCATGAAGGACTTAAGGAAGTCAACTGGGGCCCAAAATGGCTCTGGGGAGGTAACAATATTATTAATCATGAAAGGAGAGGTGTTCAACCTCATGAGTATGCCAAGAAATGGGAATTCAAATAATAAGATATTTGGAAAGAGTTTAAAACAGGAAAGAGAGGTGATTGAAATGTTTTCTAAACCAGTGCACCTATGTTCGGTGGAAATGTAAATGAACATAAACAACTATACGTTAACTTTTTCTTAATCTCCAAAAAGGAGTAGGACACCAATAAAAATACTGGTATCTCCATACTTTAAAATACACTGAACACAGGAAAACCAGTACTGTAATCAGTTCATCCAACTTTTGTCCATACTGAGGTTTCTCACAGTGGCATTAGGTCCTGGGGGCACAGGCAGTGCAGGGTGTGAGGTCATCTGGCCACCCAGGTGACTGCCGACAGAGCCATGCTCCAATCTCTGTGGTCCTTGCCCCTAGGTGGTCCGCCTGCTGCTTCTATGACATGTAGACTCTGGGTGCCTTTGCCGCTGCAGGAAAGACACCCAAAGCCCAGAGTTGAGTCCTGCCATCATTGTCAGGCCCTCCCACACTCCACCAAGGGTATCTCCCTGTGATTCATCCTCTCAAATCCTGTTTTCCTCACATTTTTTCATGGTAAGGGCCCATTAAACCCAAAGCTTGAATTCTCAGCTGCTGAAAACATCCAGCTCCTCTTCATTTGAGGGCAGGAAGAGCCAAACTCTCTCAGGAAGCAACTGCAAGATATTTGGACTCCATGCTCCTGGAGCCGTGAAGGAGATGGCCAAAAAAAAAAAAAGCCTCTCTCTTCTAGCAGTCCAAATGTTCAGGGCGCGCCACTCGCATGCACGTTAGCAGCCAACACTTACCCCGTGTTTCCAGGGCACCAAGTGAACTTGCTGTGTGCTCACAAAGAGCTGCATTATTTTTGTTTTTCAGGTGGTATACGAAGTCACCGAGAGGTTGTCTGAGGTCACCCAGCTGGGAGGCAGAGCAGCCTGGATTTAAACTCAGGTGTCCAAGCTCATGCTGTCTGTTAGACCCGAAGACGAGGCAGAAGAGGAGCACGGCTAGGGGTCGTTCCCTCTGGCCTGCCCCAGGTTGGCTGCGATGCCCACCCACTCTGGCAGGAAGGCTGCCTGTGGCTTAAAGATCATGTCTAAGGGGGAGTTGGGCAGGGTGAAATTGGCCAGGTAGACGGTGTTCCCACCTGTAAGGTAGGCAGCCCAGATCCCAAAGGTGCCCACGGTGATGACGGTGTGGTTACACTGGATGAGCAGCGCAAAGTCCCTGGCGGGTGAGCCCTGCTGGCCGTTGCCGGCGAACACCACGTCCCTGAGGGAGCCGTTGATGTTCTGCCGGCACCAGGCCATGTCGTCACTGGTGATCACGAAGACTGGGCTGCGGTAGTGGGTCCGAAACCAGTCCAGGGCCTGCTGCAGGTAGCCCTGGTCGGCCAGCACGCCCTTCCACACCCTTGGCATGACATGGACATAGTCCCCACGGCGCACATGGACCCCCACGAAGGTGGCCTGCCCAGCCCACTTGGCCTGCAGACCCCGCAGAAAACTCTGGGCCTCCTCCCGCAGGTGGTCGTGCAGGGTGAACTCCTGGAGGATCTCGGCGCGCAGGTGGTGGTAGAAGGTCCAGGAGCAGGGGTAGCCGGTGAGGCGCACGTACTCCCCCGGGATGTGGCGGTACTGGTCCTCCATCCAGTCGTTCAGTGGGTAGTTCTCCCAGGGGATCCTGCTGGCAGTGGTGTCGTGCAGGACGGGGAGGGTGATTCTGAAGATGGGGGCCAGAGTGCTGTGCATCTGGGGTGGGATGAAGGCCGGCCGCCCGTTCATCTTGGCCAAGGCGTACAGGGTGGCGTACTCCCCCATCTGGTTCCCCAGGCGGCCTTTGGAGTTGATGGTGAACATGCCCCCGCTGGGCAGGTGTCTGGAGACCAGGACCACATGAGACTGGTAGGCCCAGGGGATGGGTACCAGAGCCAGGCGCTGGTGGCAGTGGAAGATGGCAGACACCACGAAGGTGACAAAGAGGAAGAAGATGGTGGACAAGGAAGGGCAAGTGGCCCGGAGGAATTTCATGGTGGCTGCAGGGCAGAGAGAGGAAGGACTGAAGTCGGGGGGATGGCTGGGTGGGCAGGAGGTTCATTCGCTCACTCAGCCCCTCCATGCATATCTAGTGGCCTCCATTGTGGAGGCCTAAGAGCACAGACCCTGGGTCCGTTTGGCCTAGGTCTGAATCCCAGTTCCACCCCTTACCAGTGCTGTGTGACTTTAGTCAAGTTACGTCACCTCTCTGAATCCGTTTCCTTGCCCATTAAACACGAAGATTAGGTCAAAACACTTCAAAGTGCCAATATTCAACCACATTTTACCTACACAAACAGCCATTTCATATGGTCTAACCTAACAGAACTACCTTACAGGTAGTGACATTTGTAACATTTTTAGGACAGTGCCAAGCACACAAGAAGTATTCAGTAAGTGTAAAATAAATACGTCTAGAGTATTTACTACATGAATCCTCACTCCTGGGGAGCTCAGTCTGTTAAGGCTGTGTAGTATGGAGGTTCAGAGCACAGACTGAGGCCAGACAGCCCAGCTTTGCACGTGGGTCCTGCCTCCTCCTGGCGGGGCGCCTCGGAGTACGTTAGTTAAGCCTCAGTCTCCTCTGTAAAATGGGGTTAACCACAGCCCCTGCTGAGCTGCACTGGGAAGGGCCCCTCCCAGGGTAAGAGCTAAGCGCTTCCTGCCACTGTTGGTGGACGCGGTGGATTCAAGCTGGCTGCAGACCCTTCGACGGTCCTTTCCTTGAGTCTGGGCGGGCCTGTGACTGCCTCAGCCAATCAAATATGGCAGAAGTGATGCTGGGCCCTTTCTGGACCAGGACTTCAGGGACTGGCAGTTCCCACCTCCTGCCTCCGTCACATTCTCTGAGCTGCCACCTCAAGCTGCCAACATTTAACTTTTATATTCACATCTGTGATATTTATGTCTTTATATTACATCTTTTTTTTTCTGGTAACGACTTCATTTAGATAATATTCAAATGCTATATAATTCACCCATTTAAAGTGTACAATAGCTCTCCGTATATTCACATAGCTGGGCAACAATCGTAATTAATTGCAGAAAATTTTATCACCCCAAAAAGGAACTCTGCACACCTTAGCCATTCTCACCCCAATCTTCCCATCCTCCCGCCTCCTCCTTCCAATTAATCTACTTTCTAACTCCGTGGATCTACCTAGCCTGCACGCTGCATGTAAGTGAATTGTACAAGTGGCTCTTCGTGATTGGATTCTTTCACTCAGTGTCCCATGTCCAAGGTTTATCCATGTTGCAGCATTTGTGAGGATGTCACTGGTTTCTTTTCACAGCCGACTGATGTTCCATTGCACGGATATGCCTCATTTTATTATCAGTTCATCGGCTGCTGGACTTTGGGCAACGCTATCAGGAATAATGCTGCTGTGAACACGCACATACGAACCTCTGTGTGGACCCAAGTTTTCATATCCTTCCAGTACTTCCCTAGGAGTGGAATTGCTGAGTCATATGATAACTAAATAACTCTGTGTTTAACAGTTCCAGGAACCGCAGACTGTTCTCCAAGCACCTGCCTCATTTTCCATTCCCACCAGCAGCCTATGAGGGTTCTGACTTCCTCACATCCTTGCCAACACACACACTACAGTCTGTCTTTTGGATCACAGAGGGTGTGCCGTGCGATCTCAGTGAGGCCTATACATTTGAACCCACCAAGATCCCCATCCAGCTCCCGCCCCGACTTCACTGGGCTCTGACTGGGCTCCATGAACCTCAGTTTCCCCATCCTTGTAATGGGGTGGATAATCCCTTCTTCTGGCTTGCTTCTTTTTGAGTCAGCCTCTCCTCCAGCTCTCCCCTGGGCTCCCAGAAACGGTCTTTTCACTCCGGGTCCCCAGTGTGTTCTGACCCACTTTGTCCTCTCCCTTCCTCTGTTCCCCTGACGACCCACCATGGAGTGTGACCTGAGCAGCTGCACAAGTCCTGAGACCCAAAGTGACCTGCTCTGTTTCCGGCTCTGCTCGCACCAGCTAGAAATTCTCCACAAATTTGAGAAAGGCAGTCTGGCTTTTCATTTTGTACTGAGCTCTGCAAAGCAGATACAGTCTGGCGGCCACCTCTGTCCTCGAGTATTAAGAGCTCCCTCTCCTGGCCTCACATCAGCCTGCACAACTGAAAGGCCACTGAAAATAATGACTCAAGGTTGCTGCTTCCGTGGTTCCTGCCTGGAGCCAGGCACTGTTTTCAGTGCTTATATTCTGCTCCACAATTCCTTATCTGCCACTTTCCTGAAGATTGGTGGCAAAGCCCAACCGGAATAGAACTCGTCTGGGAACAAATCTGGCCTGAAGAGACCTGCAGCTATTCCTAGACTTGGCTTATCCTGGTGTGACTGCCCACATGTTTTGCTGCAGAAACAATGTTTGATTATGGGATGCTGCCCAAACTGCACTGGGGGAGCTGCGTGATATATAACCTATGCACCCTACAAGGGCCTGAAACATGGGTTCTGTAACATGTCTGGTCCAAAGAGTTTCAGATACGAGACTGTAAGCCTGTCCTGGCTCATTTGGTCCTCACGATTTTCCACGAGGAAGGTACATTTTTAAGCCCATTTAACAGATAAGGAAACTACTGCACAGAGAGGTTAAGAAACTTGCTTTGGGTCACACAGGTAGGAAGGAGGGGGAGCCTAGATTTGAACAGACAGTGATTCAGGAATCTGTGCTCTTAATTATGGTCCTTGATTTTTCCATTTGTCCTGAGGGCGCACATTCCGAGAAACTCTCCTTCCAGTTACTCAGGGGTTGAACTGCCTGGCCTTGTGGGGCCTCTGTGATTTCAGCGACACCAAGGTAGGGATAAAAGATCTGTGGAAGCCCAGAGGTGAGGGTCCCACCCTGCTGAGCCCACTTCAGAGCTGGTCCCTGGGAGATCCTGCCTCCTTTCTGGGGCGCTGTGAGGGTAAAGGTGCCTGATACTTGCGGAACCCCCCCACAAGTCTCCTTCTCAACTCTGGGAATGTTTCCTCTCTGCTCTGCCTGCTTGTACACCCCCTGCCAACCACATTCCGGGGTGCTAATCACCTCAGGCAGCACAGGCTATTAAAAACAACAGTGAAGAAGCAAGCTTCCCTCCAGGGAACCTTAGCTTTAGAAACTTCTTGCTGGTGCGCAGGAATAAAGTGAGCCCTAAACCTTCCTCCTGAGTCTCTCTGGCAGAACTGGCCTTTGCACTGGCAACGCCCTCTGCCTGGGTCGCTCCTGCCCCGATGCCCAGGGAGCATCTTGCCCTCACCTCCTTCAGGTCTCAGCTCAAATGTCCCCTCTGACCCCCACCCCACCCCATCTACTTCCTTCCTTTCTTTCGCTCCAAACATCTGTCACTTTCCACCACACTCTAGAACATAATTACTGTTACTCTTTGGTGGCCATCTCTGCTCTCTCTGGATGGTGAACCTGACAAGGATGGGGATTCTGTACATGTCACACGGGATCTTCAGCAGAGTGTCACACACAGGGGAAGTCAGTCTGAGCTGAATGGATGAGCACAGTGCATGCTGCACTGTGCCACCTTGTCACTCTCACTGCCCGCCCCAGATCCCATGTGTCCCTTCTGATTTGGGGGTGTCTCTATCCTCAGTCCCTTTCTCTTTGTAGGTACCATCCTCACAGCTGACTCTCAAATTGGCTGGCCCCTCCACTGCAGTGCGGGTCACCCTGAACTAGAATCACGGATTGCCTGGCTATGTCCTCCCACCCCAGATGGTAGGTCCCCAAATGTCTGCTTTTCTCAGTGGGAATTAATGGAAAACTTATTTTTCTAGTCAGACAATTTGGGTATGTAACAGAGTTGACATCAAAATTTCACGACAGGTATTGAGGCCTCGCAGGAAATAGGCCATGGCAGAGACCGGCTTGGATCTCTATCCCTGTCAGGGTCCCCAATTTCTCCCTCTGGCCCCTAGAACCTCTGAGGCGTGCGGCATTCTTATCTCCTCCACCTCGTCGCCACCATCTTAGAAACTGGCCCAGGTCTTTGGGTTTTCTGGCGGCTGGTCTGATCCTTCCAGGAGCATTGATTTTTCAGGCTTTAAAGCAACTGGCCTTAATGCTCAGTTAACCCAGAGCTGACAGAAGGTTCCAGAGGGGAAGAGGGGCTGGTTTGGGGTCACCCAGCCAGACACCAGCCTTCCACTTCAGCATGTGGAGCCCTGAACCCGCCCCACAGGTCAGCCCCTTCCCCGAGATCACAGCCACCACGTGATGGGGCTGAGCCTGCCTGCCTGCTCTTAGAGGAGCCCGAAGGGCAGGGGGCTGAGTGTGAGTGGAGCAGGGACCTCAGACCCAGGAAGGTCATCTGGCCACTATCCCTTCCTACCTGCCTTGAGCCTGCTGGGCCAGCTGGCTTGGGACTGTCTGGCTGCAGGTCCCTGAGGGTGACGGTGCTCACGTCCCACACAGTCTTGGGTGGTGTGGCTGCCAGGGGTCCCTGTGAAGAGAGCAGGGAGAGCGTGGTTGCATTGGCCAGGGGACTGGGGTGGGGGTGGTGCTGGATGCTGCCGGCTCTGCTCTGAGCTCCCGCCCAGAAGCCCCACTAGCCTGGGGCCTGAGAACAGCCACTCCGCACTCACTCCCTGGAGCCTACGCTGGAGCCCACGCTGGCCGCCAAGCTCCTGAGGGAGGGAAGAACCTGCGAGGAGCTAAATGCAGAGGACACTCTCTTCCTGGGCGCAGGTTTGGACATCAGGGGTGAAGGGCAGGGTGCATGCAAGAGAGTCAGGGAAAAGGGGCCTGGGTCCTAGGTGGACCCCTACACTGTCCAGGTACTAGGCCTGACTCTGCATCTGGTAGGAGCACAGCTAATCCTTAAGGTCTTTAAGGGGGAACTACGAGGGGACTAAAGTTCCTATAAGGGGTAGGGACTAGGGCCTGGATATCGGGCCTCCCCGGTGGGCACGGGCTGCCTTCTGGATCCCTCAGGAACACTGGGGAACACAGCCTGGATGCCCAAGCTGCTAAGAGCCAGAAAGTGGTACCCCGTGAACCACCCAGGCAAGAGAGGAGAGGTGGGAGATGGGGTGAGGTCCTTAACAAGGCGGGTGCTGAAGGACTGGGGCAAATGCCCAGGGAGGAGTGCAAAGTGGCGCCAAGCTGCTCCGGAGGCGCACAGGGCCATGTGCAGCATATGGGGCAGGGGGAGGATGTGATCCCACCCGCACCCACAGGTGCCTAACAGACTCCCAGCTCTGGGACAAACCTGGGTCCAGATTCAGAACCAGAGGCCGTGACAGTGCAGCCCAGAAAAGTTCTAAGGTCCCAAATCCTAGTGAGCTCCTCATTAGGGGCTACCGGCCCAGGAAAGGGAGAGCGCGGGACATTTCAGCACCAAGTTGTTCCTCCCTCCCACCATTTGGGTGTCTAGATTTCTGGCCCCTCCAATGCCCCAGCAACTGGTCCTGTCCTGTCCTGTCCTGCCTTCTTTATCTACTTCCTCAGCACCCACTACCCCGACTCCATCTGTTCCCCCATCTGCCTTGGGGACATTAGGACCAGTAGAAAAAGTGGGGGCTCTGATTCTTGGACCCTGTGGCCTAGGATGGCAGAAATTATCAGAAATTCCTCAGAAATCCAAGCACAGGGTCTTCCGATCCCAAGGGACACCAAGGTATCTGCCTTCCTGACCCCACAGGGATACCACACTCACTTCCCAACCCAGAGTGACCCAGACATCCCCATGCTGTTCCTTAGCACACTT